CTGGTTGCTCCACATAGCCTGCTGCTCAGTCATTTGGTCATCCCTCACTAACTCCTGTGCCGGCCTCATCATAGGCAGCCATCTTGTGAGGGTTAATTTGAATATTACCTCTTTATTATGTAGGATAGAGGCCTGATGCACAAAATTCGTGCAAGAGGCTCGACCCTCACAACTTCATCAGGAAAGTCATCCCATCCGGACAGTCATTCTGCTGTTCAGTCTAATTAGCATATTAGCTCTTTATTATCTAGGATGTGTGAGTATATTATTATTGTTATTACATTACCACTTTACAGATAACATACAGGAGGCATGAAAAGTGTAGGTACCTTTCCCAAGATTGTACAGCTAGAGAGTGGCAGAGCTGTGACTTGAATATGCATCTGTCTGGAAACTCTGCTCTTACTTGCTCTTATTCACTGTGCAGTGTCTTCCCTCATACATGGTCTTGCTTTCCATGGTTTCAATTATCCATGGTCAACCATGTTCTGAAAATATTAAGTGGAAAATTTCAGAAATAAACAAGTCATAGGTTTTTTTATTGATTTTTTCACAGAAAGGAAGGGAGAGGGATAGAGAGTTGGAAACATAAATGAGAGAGAAACATCAATCAGCTGCCTCCTGCACACCCCAAACTGGGGATGTCCCTGCAACCAAGGTACATGCCCCTGACCGGAATCAAACCTGGGACCTCTCAGTCCACAGGCTGACGCTCTATCCACTGAGACAAACCGGTTAGGGCACAATTCATAATTTTAAATTGCATGTTGTTCTGAATAGTGTGATGAATTCTTGCTCAGACTTGCTCTATCCCAACCAGGATGCTAATCATTCCTTTGTCCAGTGTATCCAAGCTTTACATACAGTCAATAACATATTCTGAAAGAAAGATCACTTTTACATAACTGTTATTATACTGTATTATTATAATTGTTCTATTTTATTATTGTTGTTGTTAATCTATTTCTGTGCCTAATTTATAAATTAAATTTTATCATAGGTATGTATGTGTTAAAGAAAAAACAACAACAACCAGTTCCCCAATCGCATAATTTGTGCTAAAAGTTTATAACACTGTCAATATAAGAAACATCCAGACCTGTAGAGAATTTTTTTGTTTTTGTTTGTGAACCAGTTTTAATAAGCCAATTTATAATGAGGGTGGGGAGCAGGGGATGAGGAGAAGTGGAAAAGAGAATATCTTGATACATAACAACATAGTGCCCCTGAAGGATTCTTTTATTTGAGCATGTGCACACAATCTTTCTGTGTGAAAGCAGGAATTACAACAAATGCAAAATTAAGGATTCTGTGGCTGATATGATTACCCTATTGTATACATATACAGTTCCTTTTTTAAAAGAAAAATGCCCACAGCCGTTCTGTTTTTTTGACAGTGATAAAATAATAGCTTTTGTAGAGAATTTTTATATCTTTAATTGAGCCAAACTGAAGACATTTGCCAGGGAACAAGATCTCAAGTACTCTAGAGAATAACAGTTTTGCAGCTTCTTTTCTGCATTTGAAATTAAGGAAGGAACATAAAGAAGGTTACATGAAGGTGCGAGAAAAGAAGGTAGGGATTGGATTACAGGATAGTTAAGATTAGGTGCTCTCTTCTTTTTTTTTTTTTTAAAAAATATTTTTTTATTGACTTTAGAGAGGAAGGGAGAGGAAGAGAGAGATAGAAACATCAATGATGAGAGAGAATCATTGATTGGCTGCTCATTGCACACTCTCTACAAGGGATTAAGCCTGCAACTGGGGCATATGCCAGAATGGGAATTGAACCATGACCCCTTTCCTGGTTCATAGATTGACTCTCAACCATTGAATCACACTGGCTGGGCAAGATTATGTGCTCTCTTGAAGGTGCTTATGGTTTATTTCAAAGATGTCTTAACTACATGCACAGAAACAATGGACAGAGTTTGCTAAGGCAAAGGTAAACCTGATTACTTACAATGACTTGCCCAGTCAGAAATTTATGATCAGCTCACCCTTTGAAGTTATTTTTCATAGAACTTTTTTTTTTGTTCTCAATACCAAATCTAGATTTAATACCTGATCTAAATGTCACTTCAACCTCTCCCAGAAATGTAATCTTAATCAACCAGTCTGGAATTTTCTGGTATTCTGTCACTGTGGGCCTTCCCTATCCCCCTTAGAAAGAAAACAAAATCTGCATGATACAAACCCTTCTGTTCTCCCCCTCCAAAGAAAAGGTGTCCTGGACCAAAAGTCATCTTTTTCTTTTTTCTTTCTCTTTTCTTAATAGCTCCCTTGCCTCACCTTCTTCTTATAAAAACCTTTCATTTTGTACAAACCTTGGAGTATCCTTTTGTTGCTGGATGGGGTGCTGCCCAATTCATTGAATTTCTTAAGTAAAAGCCAATAAGATCTTCAAATTTGCTCAGTAGAAATTTTTTAAACATATGTACAGAAATAACATAGTATATATAGAGTTTGTTTCTATCTGTGGTTTCAGGCATCTGCTGGGGGTCTCGGAAAGTTTCCCTGGTGGGTAACAGGGAGCTACTGTAGTCTTGAGGTTGATCTACAATCTCTATCAAAATATCAGCTGGATTTGGGGTAAAAATTGACAAGCTGATCTCAAAATTCAAAGGAAAATACAAGCAATCCCAAGTAGCCAAAACATCTTGAAAAAGGAGAAAAAATATTACAGGACTCATATTTTCCCAAGTTCAAAACTTACTACAAAGCTACAGTAAATAAGACCAGGTGTTACCGGTTCAGGATAGACAGATCAGTGGAATGGATTGGTATCCAGAAATAAACTTACATTTATGGTTAATTGACTCTTGAATAGGGTGCTGTGATTTTGTAATTTATGATAAGAAATACATATTTGGTCTTTATCCATGTTCCTGACAGAGAGCTTTTAAAATCCTTGGGACTTTTTAAGTAAGAAGAGAAATAAAATTGTCTTTTGTTATGCATAAAAGATATGGACTTGCCAGGGTAAGCAGCCCTGTGATTAGAGGATTGGGACATTCAGTTCTTCCCCCTTTAGGGAGGGGAGAGGGGCCAAGAGTTCGACTTGGTCACTAATGGCCAGTGATTTAATCAGTCATGCCTACATGATGAAGCCGCCATAACAATCCATGAGCCATGAGCCTCAGAGCGTGGATTGGTAAACAAGAACACAACAGGTGCCGGCCATGTGCTGCACCCCAGGCCACACTGCGGCAGGTGCTCCTGTGCTCAGGACCTTTCAGGACCCTGCTCTTGGTATCTTTCTGGCTGTACATTCATATATTTTAATATCCTTTGCAACACACGGGTAATCTAGTAAGTGAACTGGTTCCCTGAATTCTGCAAGCCCCTCTAGCAAATTAATCTAACCCAAGCAAGGGGTCATGGGAATTTATAACCCATAGGTCAAAAGCACAAGAAACAACCTGGACTTGTGATTGGCCTCTGTAATGGGGGAGGGTGGGTAGGACCTAGTTTTGTGGGCCTGAACCCTTAACCTATGGGATCTGATGGTAACTTCAGGCAGACAGTGTCAGAATTGGATTACATTGTACGACACCAGGCTAATGTTGCAGAGTTCTTTGATATGGGATCCCCTCCGCCCCCCCCCCCCCCCCCCACACACACACCTGGTCACCGAAATTTTCATTGTTAGTAGTGCTATGAGTGGAGAGAAAGAAACAAACAGGAGAGTTTTTCTTCTTTGCATGTATCAAGAGAATTCATTGGGGAATTAATAGTTTCTTTAACAAACATTGTTGGGATGACTGGGGATTTATATACTAAAATGATGAATTTGGACTCTTACATCATGCATACATACTATAAATATTAACTCAAAGTGATCATACATGTAAATGTAAGAGATAAAATCATAAAACTCTTGGGAGAAAATCTGATCATGGTCAGATAGCATAAGTGATAAAAAAGATTGAAAACTTGAACTTTATAAGAACTGAATTTTTTTTTTTTTGCTGCAAATAATATAATCAACTAAGTGAAAAAACAACTCACAAAGTGGGAGAAATATTTGCAAACCATATATCCAGTAAGGTACTTGAACCTAGAATACATAAATAACTTCTTTAACTCAATAACAACAAGACAAATAACCAAATTTAAAATAAACAAAGGACTTATACATTGATCCAAAAAACAAATGACCAAGAAATAATAAAGATTCTCAACATCATTAGTTATAAAGAAAATGGAAATCAAAACCACAGTGAGCTAATACTTCATAAACTTTCAGATGGCCATTATCAAAATAACAGAAAATTTCAAATGCCGTTCAAGAGGTAGAGAAATTTGAACCCTCGGTTATTACTGATAGTAATGTAAAATGGTGCAGCCACTTTGGATAACAGGAGGGAAGCTCATCAAATTGTAAACCAAAATTAATTTTAAACTTTAACAAAGAATAGAAAGCATTTATTTGAGCAAAAAGGAGCTGCAGCCCAGCAGACACATTTGGGTGACAACCTAAATTGTGTTCCACCGAGATGAAGGGGAAGCATCTTTTATAGCAAAAGTTCCCCCCACCCCCACCCCTGGGGTTCTTAATGAGGTACATTGTATGTAAATGAGGTATCCAAATTGTGCAGTTCTGATTGGGCCAATCTGTCTGTTGGTGGATAGATGAAGCCAGAATTTCCTTCCCTGCAGTGGTTGACTCAGATGATGTAAACAAGCGGGGCATAATGCAAAAGCCCAGAGTTCAGTCAGAGATTCTTCCTAGTTGTACAGAGTATGTAACAAGCTCTACCAGCAAGTGGCCACTAGCCTCTTATTAGTTACAAAATTTTGGTCCTCAGTTGACCAGAGGCAGTCCTTTTTAGCAGGTAAATTTCTTCTTGGAGTCACATCAAATGAATCTTTCTTCTCAGGGTCCACATGTTAAACAAAGAGTTAACATATGATTTACAGCTGCACTCTCAGGTGTGTATGTAAGTGAAATAAAAACATGCCAACACAAAAAGTTGTTCACAGTGGTATTAATCGTCAAAAAGAGGAAACATGGTAAATTTCCAATAACTGATGAATGGATACATATGGTATATCCATGCAATGGAATATTATTTGCCACTAAAAAGAAATGAGGTACTGATATGTGCTGTAAAATTGATGAACCTTGAAAATATTATGCCAAGTAAAAGGACCCAAATCCAAAAGACCACATATTGTATACTAGAGGCCCAGCATGCGAAATCATGCGAGATCCAGACCTGCTGCACCGGTGGGACCCCAGACCCAGCCTGCTTGAGCTGTGGGACCCTAGACCTGCCCTGTGCAAACCATGGGCCCCCAGACCTGCCCTGTGTGAGCCACAGGCCCCACCTCTGCCGTGCCAGCCCCACCAGCCCTGCGTGAGCCCCACCTCACCGTGCAAGCCATGAGAGGTGCTCCATGCACCTCCTGGTGACCGACTGTTTGGTCATTCCACTGTTATGGCATCACGACCACAGGCCTTTTCTGATATAGATTTCCATTTATATGAAAAGTCCATAATGGGAAATTCTACAGAAATAGAAAGTAAACCAGTGGTTGCCTACGACTGAGGTAGGTGGGAGTGGAATGGTTTGGAGGAGAAATAGAGAATGACTGGAAATGGGTATGGAGTTTCTTTTTTGTTTTGTTTTGTTAATCCTCATCCAAGGATACTTTTTCATTGATTTTTAGAGAGAGTGGTAGAGAGAGGAAAAGACAGAGAGAAACATCAATGTGAAAGAAACACATCGATTGGTTGCCTCCTGCAAGAGCCCCAACCAGGGCTGAACCCAGGACCCTTTTGTCCTTAGGCCGATGCTCTCTCCACTGAACCAAACAGGCTAGGGTATGGGGTTTCTTTATAGTGTGACAAAAATGTTCTAAAATGAATATTATAAAAAACATTGAATTGTACACATTTAAATGGGTGAATTTTATTGCATATAATATGTATCTCAATTAAAATGTTAAGAGAAGAGTAAGCCAGTGCCTAGCATATGGTAAGAATTTAATAAATTTAAACTATGACATTTAAAAAATGTGTCAAGCACAATTCTTTGGACAGTTTGATATGTCTCTATAGTGGTGATGTATTGGGTTGTGTAAAAAATGACTGAAGTTCTGAGAACATAGGGAAAGGGTGGTGACAATGTTAGAAAGAAGTCGTCTGGCAAGTAAGCTAATTTGGGGATGGAGGAAAAATAGGAGTTTCTTTGGGGGAATGTTGAATGTTCAAGTGGAAAGGTCTCCTGAAGAGTAATAAAAAAAGAAATGGGTTTTATCCTCAGAACAGGGGAATTTGGGAAAAACAAATATGAAATCTTCTGGCTACTGCAGGGGTGGGCAAACTTTTTGACTCAAGGGCCACAATGGGTTCTTAAACTGGACCGCAGTGCAGGAAGAAAAGCATGGATGGAGTGTTTGTGTGAACTAATATAAATTCAAAGTAAAGATCATTACATAAAAGGGTACGGTCTTTTTTTTTTTTTTTTAGTTTTATTCATTTCAAACGGGCCGGATCTGGCCCGCGGGCCGTAGTTTGCCCACGGCTGGTACTGTGATAAGCAAGAGAGAGTTTTCTTTTCTAATGAGCTTGGGTGAGTTGATTAATATAACATTATATGTAGTGAAGTGATATAGATTGGGTAGTAATGGTTAAGTAATTTAAAAAAGTAAACTGGTCATTAAAAATGGTCTCTTATAGGTGTCTTCAGAAGACATATTCTTCACAACTCCCATCCCTCAGTGTCGTTCTCATATTCACGAACGAAGCTCTGTCCATTATACAACGGGCCATCATCAGTATCATCAACCGGACCCCCTCTCAATTGTTAAAGGAAATCATCTTGGTGGACGATTTTAGCTCAAATGGTGAGCTACTCGATCAAAGAATAGCAGTAAAATGACCATTTATCAACTGTGGTAGGTTGGAAAGGGGTTTTAGCCTAGAGTTTAGGACACTTTGGGCTCCTCATATAGGAAGAAGAAAGGGTTCATTTATTGATCCCAATTTTCAATGGGCACATTACTCTTCACAAAGTCAAGACAGAGGATCATCATCTCAATTACACAGATGAGGAAACAAAGACACAGAACACATAGTGTGCCCAAATTGTGTGGCCAGTCAGTGGTGGAGCTGAGCCAGGCCCAGGATTGTGTGACTCCAAAGCCACCTGTGCCCTGTCCATGCTCCATGAGAGAGGCCCGAGGGAGTGAGGTGGGGTCCAAAGGAGGATCTCAGACACCAAGGTTGAATTTAAGTCATTCCTTATGAGAAAAAAAAATCTTTCTAGGTAGTTAAGCCCAGAGAAAAGATGAGATTTGGATGCTGAGACTCTTTACAGTGGCATTGCTCCCTCCTCACCCTGGTCTAACTCCACCCCCCTCCAACGCCCCCACCACAAGGAGGACACATGGAGAACTGGGAGATAGTGGGTAGACATGAGTCCTCATTTTCTGGGGCTTCAGAATCCAAGTTCCTCCTTTACAAGCTCTACTAGAGGCCCGGTGCATGAAATGCATGCATGGAGGTGTGTGTGTGTCCCTCAGCCCAGCCTGCACCCTCTTCAATCTGGGACTCCTCGAGGGATGTCTGACTGCTGGCTCTCAAATGCTCACCTGACTGCCTACCTGATTGCCCCTAACCGCTTCTGCCTGCCAGCCTGATCACCCCCTAACCACTCCCCTGCCAGCCTGATTGATGCCTAACTGCTCCCCTGCTGGCCCAATTGCCCCTTACTGCCCTCCCCTGCTGGTGTGGTCACCCCTAACTGTCCTCTACTGCAGGCCTGGTCACCCCCAACTGCCCTCCCCTGCTGGCCTGGTCAACCCTAGCTGCCCTCCTCTGCAGGCCTGATTGCCTCCAACTACCCTCCCCTGCAGGCCTGATCCCTCCCAACTGCCCTCCCCTGGTGGCCTGATCTCCCACAACTGCCCTGCCAGCCACCTTGTGGTGGTCATCTTGTGTCCACATGGGGCTGGCCATCTTTGACCACATGGGGGTGGTCATCTTTTGTGTTGGAGTGATGGTCAATTTGCATATTACCTCCTTATTATATAGGATGTCCTTGAGTAACTTAATTTGTCCTTGTTACTACTTTCTTATTTGAAAAACATGGATGTTGATGAGAAAAACTATCTCATAGACTATAATGAGAATTAAGTGAGATAATAATGGTAGCTAACACTGTTCTAAACACCTTACATATGCTAACTATTTTAACTATTACAAAAATCCTATGAGGAAGGAGCTCCTTCTTTGCTCATTTCACAAATACAAAAAACTAAGGCATAATCTGGTCAAGGAACTTGGCCAACACAACTGGTAAATGATGGAATTGAGATTTGACCACAACTTCAGCATCTTAGAGCCCTAGCTCTAGTCACTGTTTTTATTGATATAATACATGATTTATGAATAGCATTTAGCATATAGTGTTAGCTCTTAGTTTTATTAATTTTGGGCACTTAATAAAAGAAACTAGAATCATATCACAAACCCAGGGATTTGGGCTAGAAATTAGGAGGAAATTTCTAATAGTAAGGACTATAAAATGGCAGCCCATTAGAGGAAGAGTTCTCCCTTTCTGAGGATCTTTAAGTACCAGACAGGTTATTGTAGCTTCAAATTAAGGGCTGTTTCACCAGAGGAGAAGAGACAAATGACCTCTTACACCTTCATTTTTAGATTTCCAGTCACTAAAATTACTCCTTTTAATGTTGTTTGTTTTTTTTAAATATATTTTTATTGATTTCAGAGAGAAAAAGGGAGAGAGAAAGATAGACATATCAATGATAAGAGAGAATCATTGGTAGGTGGCCTCTTGTGTGTCCCCTACTGGGAATCAAGCCTGCAACCCGGACATATGCCCTTGACTGGAATCAAACCCAGGACCCTTCAGTCCACAGGCTGACATTCTATCCACTGAGCCAAACCAGCTACATATCCTTTTCATGCTTTAAATACCTTCCTCTCTTGTCCTTCCAATACAACTGCACACAAAAAATGAGGCGTTACAATTCCCAAGCAAAATTCCACCAGAAAAAAAGAAAAGAGAATGGCTGATTTCATTCATTTCTGGAAATGGAGGTCAATATCCACTTGTATACCTGAATTTTAAGCAAGTAATAGGAGTGTAATTAGAAAGACCTCTGTTCTGGACACCTGAGAAGACCTGGCTCCATTCCCCAGCTCTCTGAGATGACCTGAGGCAAGTCAAGTCATCTCACTTCTCTGGGACTCAGCTTCTTCATGGGGCAAATGCAGGGGCTGTGGTAGAGGGACTCTGATGGTATCTTTTTCTATGAAAAAAAAAATCAATGATTCTATAAGTCTACATTCCATGAGGATCAGATAAGAAATATTTCAAGACCTTTGAATGTGGACCAATGAAATTAAAGATACAAAATTACAAACATAGGGTAGACACATGACATCGTCCTTGCTTGTTCCATTGTGTCCCCATCATATAATGCATCCTCTCACTTGAGTTGAGAGTTCGTGTTTTCCATAGAGCTAATTTTTTTTGATGGGCACAGAAGAGAGAATTGTTAGTTGTTCTTTGTTGTCACTGGGACAGGAATCAATTTCCCTGTCATTAACCATGGAAACATCAGCTAGATTGGGCCTACACTGAACAGAACTCAAAAATCTGTTTTGTGCTATACTGAGAAAAAGAATTGGAAGTCTCTACCATGCATGCCACAAGATAAACTTATTATTCATGTGACTGTGAGGGTAAGTTACTCAGCTACATTATGCCCCATTTCCTCATCTGTAACATGGGAGAAATAACACTGCCTTTCTGATAGGACCTTTCTGGGGATTAAATAACACTTGTAATGTCCTCAGAACAGGGCTTGCTCTCAATAAATGTTAGCCAGTGTTGTAATCCTTGTTTATCTCAGTATCATTTGTAGTACTATTGAAATGCTGCAACCTGGTATTAGAGGAGTGTCCCTTTCCTTCATTTCCCTAGATGTAAAGCTTAATTTGCATCAGGTCAAGTGTTTCACATCAACAAAAGCTAATCTAAGTTTTTTAGAAATTATATTAATGTAGGTGGAACCCTGTATTTTCTCCCCAATTTTAGGCAAATTCCCCAATCAACAACTATTTATTGAGTTTCTACCATGTGCCAGGCATTATGCGTGGAAGAGAATGTCAGTGATTTCAAGAAGTTCCCATTTTAATTGATGAGGCAAGACAAACCTATGAAAAGACACCTCGATGTATGAAAAGTAGTGTGTCAAACTGAGTGAGCTGTCAGCGAGTGGAAGAAATCCCAGAGAAGTAATTGGGATGACTTAGGGAGGCTTCCTGGAGGAAAGGGCCTTGGGTTAGGACTTGAAAGCTTGGTAGGTTTTGAAAAGGCAAAGAAAACAAAGGAAGACTGCCTGGCTCTGGTGGGGTTACATAGGGAGTAGAGGAAAAAAAACAAAAAAAGAGATGTGAGCAAAGATACAGAAGCCAGAAGCACCCTGAGCTGAACAGCCTGAAATAAAGAGTCTTTTGGGGGATAGGAGTAGGGGGAGTATCAATGGGAGAGCAAGACTGAGAAGGAAACATAGGTTTACTTTAGAAGATCCATTGAAGGGTCTTTAATTCTTATGTCGGACTATAGGCATTATTTCTGAAAGGGTGACTAGAAATCTACAGCTCATAGGACTTTGTAATTGGAAGGGTACTGACATGTTATCCAGCCTTCTCTAAGTTTTGGAAATAGAATTCCCCAAATGGGAAGTGACACAGAATTAGATAGTGAGGGAGCCCAAATTATAGTCTAGATATCTAGAGTCTCTAGCAACCCCTTCTTTTCTTTTATTCCTCCTCCCCGTCCCCCACTGTTTTGGTTCCCAAGTTTAATTCAAGAACTCATGCAAAATAGACCAGATAAATGAATTTTGATCCTCATCTTCCTCTTCATCCTGGTTTATCTGGAACTAATGTAATTCCTAACTCTCTTTGCCACATGCAACCAATCTCATAGATTATTCTCCAAATATTTTTTTGTGTGAGATATTTCAAATATCTCTTTAAAAAATAACCTCAGGCCCTAGCCAGTTTTGCTCAGTGGATAGAGTGTCAGCCTGTGGACTGAAAGTTCCCAGGTTTGATTCCGGTCAAGGGCACATGTCCGGGTTGCAGGCTTGATCCCCAGTTTTGGGTGTGCAGGAGAGAGAGGCAACCAATCTATGATTCTCTCTCATCATTGATGTTTCTATCTCCCTCTCCCTCTCCTGCCTCTCTGAGATCAATAAAAATATGTGTGTGTTTTTTTAAAGAACCTCAGAAATTATGGCAATCTTGCTCTTGCTCCTTTCAATAGTTGCAATCCTTCACTGAGAGTCACAGCTTTTCTATTCACTTTTTCTTTCTTGAAGAAATTGTTCAAAATTGGCAGTAGTCATGATTCCATGTCCCACAGGGTGGGTGAAGACAAAGGTAAACTCCAGAGCCTGCTTCTTTGTTTGTTTTTGTCCTGCTTTCCCACAGATACCGTGGTGGCAGCAGAAGCAGAAAAAAAAATGTGTCAACCCCTTCTGATTACTTTCTAAAATTAGTGACAGTGAATTTAGGGAATTTCAACCTTTTATTTTTTTTCAGTAGGAGCAAACAGCCTTCAGGTCCATTGGCTCTCTTCAACACCTTCAATTACCGATTCACCATCCTGGAGTACAATAGGGAAAGTGCTAAAATGGGTATGATTTTAGCACCATAGTCATGTCGTTATTGATTCCAGGATTCACAAATCTAATCTTCTTCTGAGAAAGGAACAGAAAGAATCTAATCTCTTGGCCCCTGGGGGGTGTGAATAGGGGAGAGGAGATGGAGGGAAATCTTGATAAATCCAACCATTACATACATAGTTCTTGAGGCAGCATGGCATAGTGGTTAAATACAACAGGGGCTCATACGCAGGTATGCCACTGACTTGAGGTGTGATTTAAACAAGTTTCTTAACCTCGCTGTGCTTCAGTTTTTTTCATCTGTAAAGTGGGGATATTGGAAGTGCCTTCCTCATAGGATTTCTTGAGAATTAAATGAATTAATATCATCAGGGAGTCATTTGGTTAGATATTTTAAACATTGCTTAGTGATTTGTATATAAGTTGTCTTCATACATATGAGAAAGTCAACTAGTAGGCTTACCCAAAGAACAAATGCATAGATAGGCTTTATAAAAGAGAGGAGAAAGAGAGAGAAGGAAAACTATAAGCAATCTTGGAATAGTGAATGTTGTTTGCATAATTTTGGGGATATACTCATTAGCTGGAAGTTAGAAAAGGCATTAGTTGGGCATTCTGTCCCAGTTGGTCCTTGAGTAGGCCAAGTAGAAATAGCTAACACAAGACAAAACAATTTCAGTTGATTATGCATTCTTTAGAAAAATCTTGAGTGTTTAGTTGTGGAGAAGATGTTGTGAGCTGTCTCTGCAATGTCTGACCATCAACATTTCTATCATAGTTAAATCAGGTCTGTCCTACTCATTCTTTTTTTTTAAACATATTATTTATTTATCTATTTATTTTTAATCCTCACCCAAGGATATTTTTTCCATTGATTTTTAGAGAGATTGGAAGGGAGAGGGAGAGACAGAGAGAAACACTGCTGTGAGAGAGAGACACATCGATTGAATGTCTCCTGCGGGGTCAGGAGCCTGCAACTGAGGTACGTGCCCTTGACCGGAATCAAACCTGGGTGCCTTCAGTTCACAGGCTGATGCTCTATCCACTGAGCCGAACTAGCTAGGACTGTCCTATTCATTCTTGTTAAAAACTTTCAGTATACATAAACCTGGTATAACAGTGTCTGGCACATAGTAAGCAATTTCTAAGGCAGTTTAACTTTGAGGGAAAAGAGATTAGAATGATGCTATTAAGACAGGATGGAATAGAGAGGAAGGTGGGTGCAGGGGAAACAGTCAAGGTTGTAGAATCGTACATCCTAATCTGGAGATAGTTCAACCACTACTAACTTTAGAATAGTATTACATTTCTGTACCAAACTGATCATTACATTCAGAATTTCTTTAAGTCTATATTTTTTTTGGCAGAAGAACTAAAGGCAAACTTGGATGAGCTTATTAAGCTTTACAACCAGAAGTATCCAGGACTACTGAAAATAGTACGGCATACCAAGAGACAAGGTCTTGCTCAAGCCCGCAACACTGGCAGGGAAGCTGCCACAGCTGAAGTGGTAGCCATCCTGGATGCTCATATTGAAGTGAATGCTGGGTGGTAAGGCCCCAGATGGTTTCTTCTTCTGAAAAAAAGGAGAAAGGACATATTATAATGCTGAATACAAGACAGGATAGTGTGGAAATGGGGAAAGCCTACATCAGACCTTAAACACAGGGAAGCTACAAAGACAGGATGCTTTTACTCAAGGATTTTGGTTGGCTAAGGATAGTGCTAGAGCAAAAACAATGGGCTTGGCATATTGACATTGCACCCAACCCTGACTTTACCAAATACTTTGGGACTTTGTATATACATCACTCCATCTAACTTGATATTCATATGCTTATCTATAAAATTGAAGAGATTGCCTTTTGGTAATTCCTAAGGTTTTTCCCAGCCCTGAAATTACATGACATAGAGAGAGCTGTGTTTTTTTGGAGAAAATGAAGAATCAGATAGTAAAGAGTTATCATTTTGGAAACAGGGTGACCCAAAGGTAATGTAAATTCAGGAATACTGATGGTCCTGGTTCACAGTAGCTCGGGGGTAGTATTTGGGTACTAATTTCAAATATGCTTTTGACATGGGTCAGCTGCTAGCATCCCAACTATGCCAAAAGCTGAAGAACTTTCCTGGACTCTGGAGCATCCCTCTCACCATCAAGCTCAGTCTAAATGAAGAAGGTGCTTAATGTCAGGGCAAGACATTAATGAAGAAGGTGCTTAATGCTTGGGGCACCTTTGTCTGCTTGCTCCTGCTGCTTACCCACATACCTAACCTGGGTTTGTTACACATCCTTTTTCTAGGGCAGAGCCCATCTTGGCCCGGATTCAGGAAGACCACACTGTGATTGTGTCTCCTGTGTTTGACAAAATTAACTTTGACACCTTTGAACTAGAAAAGTATGGATTGGCAGTTGATGGGTTTAACTGGGAACTGTGGTGCCGTTATGATTCACTGCCAAAGGCCTGGATTGATCTGAATGATGTCACCGCTCCAGTGAAGTAAGTCGGAGAGGTCTCAGGAATGTGGTTAGTACATGGGAAGTCAGGAATGAATGGGGTATGGTGGTAGTAATGGAAGAAGGGTGAAAGGAATGAAGGACAGGGAATAAAAATAAAAAACACTGATCTCAGATAGGAAATCACACTTTGGATTATTTGAGGGCTTTCAAGCAGAATAAAGCAAATGTTTTAAAAAACATTTGGGCCATTTAAAGCATTTATCAGGTTATGAAGTAGGAATATCCAGATGAAAAAGAGGTACTTTTAATAGACCTTGAGAAGAGTCATGACAACACAAAGGGTGAGGGAAAGTAACACACGCTTAGTTCAGCTAGGGGGCTTAGGGAAACCCTACGCATAAGAGGTTTGGGTAGAGTTTCAAAGGCCAAACCATCACTGTGTTTCCTACTGCTCCCCTCCCTCCTAACCCACTCATTATGGAGAGGTTAGTAACTTCTCTTGCTTTGTGTTCCACAGGAGTCCTTCCATCATGGGCATCCTGGCAGCCAACAGGCTCTTCCTGGGAAAGATTGGGTCTGTGGATGGTGGAATGCTGGTCTATGGAGGAGAAAATGTGGAACTTAGTCTGCGGGTGGGTACATTTCCGTTCTTCTTATGGGACAAAGCAGAGGAGAAATAGTAGGAGGGTAGTAGTAGTGTCTCTGGAATCCTGAAACAAGGCTGAATGTCAATGGTTCAAGAGGTGGACAAATCCTCATGTTTGTAGGTCACTAGAGAAAGGCACTAGGACTTCAGGAGTGGAGTCTTTTTGATGTAGGTCTATATAATCTGGAACCTATCGGAGGAAAGGGTAAACTGAGGCTCAGCAGATGGTGTCCCCCTTTGTCTTGAGGAATCCAGGCATTTTCCAAACATCTAGAATCAAACAACTCTGTGGCAGACAGCTTTCTATAAGACCAAAGAGAAACTGGGCAGAGGGTCCAGGGGATACAGATGTGTGGACAGCTGAATGGACAGCTAGAACAGCTGACATGATGGCATAGGTCATGCTGAGATGTAGTTTAGTCTAGGACAAATAGCCAATGATGGATTGTACAGCAGTAAAATTCTCGAACCAATTCTCATTCTGACCAACTTCCTGTGCACTGGCTACTCAGCAATGATGCCTCTTCTCTGCTCCAGCTTGACTTTGATGGGGTGGCTCTGAAGGCTTCAGTTTGGAACTAGTGCATTATTTTTTCTTTCCTATTAAATTTGTCAAAGTACATGTTATGGTCAAGGGGTGAGGAGTATCTTCTGTCTACAATGAAGTGATGGAGAAGTGGGGCCAATAAGTTCAACACATCACAATCAGTTTGGAATAGGTCTCATGCAAATCTTAATTCCAAACCCTACTTTTCCACTAGAAAGTTTGTGTTATCCTGGCCAGATACAAACTCCCTAAGCCATATCTGCTGCACCAAGAACCTAGCATGGTGAGTGACATATGGCTTACACTTGATAATGAGTTTATAATAAAAAAAATAATTAGGATGTCAGGATGGCATTGTAAAAAATGCTGGACTTAGGTTCTAACCCTGGCTCTGCTAATTCCCCATTTCTATAAAATGCTCACCCCCTGCAACTCCCAGCTCCAAAATTCTGTGCCTGAGTCAGGTGACCTCTGGCCCATTGTGTTTTCTGGAGGAACAAGATAATTTCCTATATAAAGCTTATTCTGTCCTACTCCCTTCAGATTCCTTTCAATTGAGACTGAAGACCACATATTGCACCCACTTAGGACCCAATCAAGATCCCACATTTATGTGTTAACAAATAAACTTTGAGTCCCTGTCTGCATTTTCCATTAAGCCACAACCATTCTCTAGCAGAAAGAATTATTATTTTTTTGCCTGGTGGTTTTGATCAGTATTTCCACTTGTGAAATGGAGAGAAGTGTCCTTTTTTTAAAAAACTATCTCATAAGAATGATTGTGCAGTTAAAATGTAATAAATAATTTGAAATGCTTTATGAAGATATGAATTAGAATTCTTATTTGATTTTTGGGACAGAGGCCAAAATAATAGAGGTTTAAATAAGATAGAAATTAATTTTTTTCTTCCATGACTGTTTGAACATAAGTGGTTCAGGATTGAGATGGCAGCTCCAGAGTGATGGGGACCAAGACTCTCCCATCTTGTGGTTCTGCCTCACTCAATATCACATCCATATCCTAGTTTGAGAGTATGCTCTTCCTCTTTTTATGAGTTCTACCTGCAAGTTGTGTATATTGTATTTCATTGGCCAGCACTGGTCAGATGGTCATACCTCTATACAGTCAAGGTGTTGTCCAGGGCTGGGTTCTCAGCTAGGACTGACTGAAGAAGGATCTGCTTCTAGGCTCATGTTGGTATTGGCAGCATTCAGCTCCTTGAAGTCTTCCAGACTGAAGAGGCATTCAGGTTTTGGCTGTCTATCAGTTGGAAGCCACCCTTAGTTTCTTGCACTCTTCATATGGTGGCTTACAACTTGGTGGCTTGCTTCTTCTAAGCCAGCAAGAGAGTGCATCTCCTAGTTCAGTGGTTCTCAACCTTTCTAATGCTGTGACTCTTTAAATCAGTTCCTCATGTTATGATGACCCCAAACCATAAAATTATTTTAGTTGCTACTTCATAACTGTAATTTTGCTACTGTTATGAATCGTAATGTAAATATCTGATATGCAGGATGTATTTTCATTGTTCGCGACCACAGGTTGAGAACCGCTGCTGGATGGACACTATAATCTTTTGTAATGTAATTACACACATGTAATCGTGTACATATCTTTGCCATTTTCTACGGGTTAGAAGATCACAAACCCACACTCAAGGGGAGGGGAGCGAGGAAAGGTGTGAAGATGAGGAGGCAGGGATCATGTGGGCCACCTGTGGTCTGTTCATCACATTGCATAATATCTGGCATGCAGGTCCAGGAGGGGTCATAGGACACTAACTCCAGTGTGATTAGCTCAGGGCTTGGTGCTCCTCAGGACATTGGCACTTTTCTTGAGGATAAGTGAGCATGGACAGACTGCCAGGACCTTCGCAGTGGGGTTCAGGATTCTAGGAGGTGCCGATGCACAAATGAAAATGCTATACAAGAAATATGAATTTAGAAGACATTGGGGGCCAGGTGGAGCCTCTTTATGAAGAGACACACTGAAACTGGGTCCCATCTGCTTTTAGTCAGTTTTAGATACACATCTTGCCCTCAGTAAAGTACAGCAAACAAGTAGCAGACAGGCTGTCTCTAAGGTCAATAAAGATCAGTAAAGATCAGTAAGGTCCAGTAAACATTTACTTGGAGACTATTGAGGCACCATTATCTCAACACAAACAATTGGTGCTTAGCATCAACCCTGCTAATGCTCAAGATCCATCAGCCTTCTGCGCTCCTTGGTGCACTCTCATGACAGTATTGGCAAATGGTGGCTTCCCGCAACAGAACTTCCTTTGGTTTTGTTTGGGGGGATTTCCTAAAGTGGGTAGGATTTCTGGAACTGTCGGAATGACAGGAGAGAAGAAGTTTGGTAAACTTCTAAGGAGGATTGTTTTAGTGAAGTGGTTTGGGAGGTAACATAAAGATGGGAGTGGGAGGACTGAATTTATGTTCTTTAAAAAATGGCTCCAAAATGTTGGTCTCTGTGCATCAGTAAGCGATACTATTTATTAGCTGTGGCGCCAAGACTGCCCAGATGATTTTTGCGCCTTTTCTTGCAGGTGTGGCAGTGTGGGGGGAGAATTGAGGTTTTGCCCTGCTCCCGGATTGCTCACATAGAGAGACATCACAAGCCCTATGCCTTGGATCTGACTCCTGCCATGAAGCGCAATGCTCTCAGAGTGGCCGAAATCTGGATGGATGAGTACAAATACATGGTCTACTTGGCCTGGAACATACCACTCCAGGTTTGTCATGGCACTGAATAGGACCAGGAGGAGGAGGTGGTGATAGTGGTGGGAAATGGGAAGGGATACAGAAAAAGTGTCATCCCAGCCCTAAAGAATAAGGATAACATCCAGATGGTGTGATGATGATGACACAACATTTATGTAGTAAGCCTATGTTCCAGACTCATTAATTATCACAACATACTTAGAGGGTAAGTTTTATTTTTAATTTTATGTATTTTTAAAATTTTCTATTACAGTTGACATTCAGTGTTATGTTAGTTTCAGGTGTATATCATAATGCTTAGCACTTATATAACTTATCAAGTGTTCCCTGTGATAAGTCTAATACCACCTGGCACAGTACATAGTTATTACAATATTCCCTATGCTGCACTTTACATTCCTGTGATTAATTTGTAACTCCCAATTTCTACTTCTTAATCCCTTCACTCTTTTCACATAGCTCCCAACCCCCCTCGCATCTGGCAAGCATCAATTTGTTCTTTATATCTATGAGTTTATTTCTGTTTTATTTGTTTATTTATTTTGTTTTTTATTTTCCACATAGAAGTGAAATAATGTGATATTTGCCTTTCTCTGTTGGACTTATTTTACTTAGTCTAAATACCTTCTGTGTACATACATGTTGTCACAAACGGCAAGATTTTATTCTTGTTTATGGCTAAGTAAAATTCCATTGAATATATACCACATCTTCTTTATCCATTTGGACACTTAGGTTGCTTTTAGACTTTGTTGCAAATAATGCTGCAATGATCATAGGGGTCCATATATTTTTTTCAAAATAGTCTTTTGGATTTCTTCAAATAAAAACTCAAAAGTGGAATTGCTGAGTTATTTGGTAGTTCTATTGCTTGCCTCCATTTTGTTTAGTTCTTTTTCTGGAGTTTTGTCTTGTTTAATTTGGGATATGTTTTTTTTTTCTTTTCTTTTTTGACTACCTCCTGTGCTTGTTTCTTTGTATTAGGTAGATCTGCTATGTCTCCCAATCTTGGGAGGGTCACCTTATATAGTAGCCGTCTTAATGGGTTCAGTGGCACAGTCTCCCCAGTCACCTGAGATGGGTGTGCCAGGACTGTCTTTTGTATGGGTTGTGTGTGCCCCCCTGTTATAGTTGAGCCTTGATTTCTGTTGGCATATCAGTGGGTGAGATTGACCCCCAAGCTGACTGGGTGTGAGGGTTGACCATGGCTACAACAGACAACCTGTTGGTGTGTGAATGACCTCATAGAATGGGGTTCATCTGGGGCTCTGGTGTCTGCTGAATTTGCCTTTTTGGTGTGTCATTTGTGGAACTAATTGCGTGGTGCTCTGGTGAGGTCTGAAGCTGGCCACTGGGTGTGTTGTTTCTGGGGCCTCTTGAGAAGAGCTCCAGTGTTAGCCAAAGTGAGCTGCTGCCTGCCTGGCCTGGGGTCACCTGGTAGGAGCTACAAAATGATCGGTGGTTGGTAGCTCTCTCTGTTGGGTTGGAGGCATCTGGGACCAGTTATGCTATGGATCGAGTGTGACTGCCACTCATGCCAAGCTTGGGGCTGATTAGCAAGAGGTGCAGGGCATGAAGAGGCTACCCACTGCTTGGGGTTTGTAAATCTTTGAGAGATTTTAGGAAAGTCCACAGCTCAGGCCAAGGTTGGTTGCTTGTGAGGAACAGCCTTGGAAAAAGATTCATGCTGGAAGAGAGTTCAGTGAGGTACGGTCTCAGGGAATCATTAGGGAGCGGCAGTTGGGGTTAGCCAGGCTGATGGAGATTCAGATGTAGTGCACACCTGTGTCTGCCTGTTGTGTGGGGAGAGGGCTCAATAAAGGAATAATGGCACCTGTCAGTACTTCTGTCCATGAGAGAGCTGCCCTTCCTTCGCTCTCTCTGAAGCCAGTCAATTCAGTTTCTCCCCATATATCCCTGGTGCTTTCCAAGCTGCTGTCCCTTCGCTGGAGCTTAGGGCAAGTGTGAGCGATTGAGTTCTTGCTTGGGTTCTTTAAAAGGATATCTGGTCTACAGCAGCCCTTTGTCTCACCCGGATGGATGTCCTGCTGATTTTCACAGACAGATATTGTGGGGACTCCTATTCCTAGCACTGGTTCTTCGGGCTGGGGAGTGAGGTGTGAGCCGGGGCCCCTCCCTCCCCATTGAGGACCTTCACAGCTGAGAAGGTCTTACCCACCACATGTGGGTGTGGGGCCAGCCCATTTTGCATCTGCATCCCTCCTACTCTTTATATCCTTATATCCTTCTTTATATCCTTAGTTATAGGAGTTCTGTTCAGCTAGTCTTCAGGTGGTTCTCAAGGGTAGCTGTTCTATAATTTAGCTGTAGTTTTGATGTGGTCATGGGAGGAAGCAAGCGCAGACTCTTCCTTGGGTAGGTTTTATTTTTATTATTCTAAGTTTACAGATGAAGAAACTGAAGCACAGAGAATTGAAAGAAACTTGTTTAAGGTAATAAGGTAGTAAGCGGCTGAGATAAGATTCAAACCAAATGTAATCCTCTACATTTCTTGTTCATCCATCATCATTACTGGTGGAATCTTTATGGTACAGGGTTGGACATCAGGAACTCACTGTCTTAAGAGGACATAAACATGGTAGGCAGGATGTGAGATGGTGGGAATAGAGATTATAATCCTGTTGGATGCACATGAATGCGATGACCTTCTTGGCTAAGGCCATACATTGTCTCTGCCACTGGAGTTCAGGGTGATTTGCTATCTTCTGCTTCTGAGCTGTGGCTCTGGGCTCAAACATTCTTTCAGTTTGATTCCCCACAGATATCACTTTTAGAAAATGCCACTTAACCACCAAAATCTTGCTGCCAGAATATTGTTTTTGAAAGCCCTTTCTGGCCATCATGAGTAGTATTTTGTGTTTTACTGATATAAATATGATCTCTAACAGGAGCAGTCTGCATTAGCTTGCTAATGATGAGAAAGAAACCTGAGTGACCCCACTACACAGGCCTTGCAAGTGCCTTTGAGGCCAATGTGAGTCCTAAGGTTCAAGCTTTTTTCACTTTCCCCGGAAAACTATACATTATAAAGGTTACTTTATAGGCCATCAGAAAAATACCCTCTTCCCTCAGGCATCATCCACACCCTTTGATGGAGCCAAGGACATTATGCAGAAACATTCCATGTTTTATTTACACAGAAACACTCCATGTTTTACTTACAGAACTCTGGAATCGATTATGGAGACATTTCTTCCAGAATGGCACTCCGGGAAAACCTGAAATGTAAAACTTTTGACTGGTATCTGAAAAATGTTTATCCAGCCCTGAAGCCAATCCACAACATTGTAGGCTATGGAAGAGTACGTATTATGACATTGCATTTCAGATTTTAAATATTTGACTGTGACAGACAATGAAACCTGAGTCACACGACTACCCAGAAAAGGGTTTCCCAAACGCATCCTGTCCAAGATTCTCTTCCTGTCCCCCAACTCCTTCCCTTGGGCCCTCTCAGTTCCTGTTACCTCTTACTCCAGTGTTCCCATCTCCTTTCTTTCTCTCTGCCTCTACTTCCTTACTTGGCAGCCCTTGCTCTGCCTCTCTCGTTTCTCAGCCAATCAGGGTGTTTGGCCTCACCCACCTGAAGGTGGCTGTAGGTGTCCCTTCTTTATATATGTTGTGATGGTCCCAGTGGGCGGGCATTCCCAGGAAGTGGGGATCACAGCAGGGCCTCACTTCAGCATTTGTCTTAGAAAATTGCTGTCAGGATAGCAAACTGCTGGTCCCTTTGGCTGGTAATTCCTGGCCCCGTGGAGCACTGGAGAAAATGCAGGGTCTGGGAGGCTTGGTACTCTGTTTCTCCGACTCTTTCCAATCATGTTGTCATGTGTTTTGCTCCTTCAGATAAAAAACTCGCTGAGTGAAAATGACTGCCTGGATCGGGGCCCTATTAAGGGCAAGACCCCCATCATGTATTTTTGTAATGAACACAGTCCACAGGTATCTTCCACAACCTTCTTTGCCTGGACAGGATGAGTCTGTTGAGGCTCAGCCCTAGCAACCTCTGCCAGATTTGGACTCAGTGCCAGATGTCAGGGAGGCAGGAGCTGGGAATCCTGGGTAATGAGTCATGGTGAAACCTCAACCTGTACGTTTAACTAAGCACTTCCAAGTTCATTCAAAAAGTTATGTCAGGACAGTTCTATTTCAGATATGGGTAGCGAAGGTGAAAAGGCTCTGATCGGTTGCATTCATTCTCCATGGTAATATTTTCATTGACAAAACCTTCAATTCCTTTTTCCCCTCTTCCCATGGCCTCCCTCCACCCCCACCCCGCACTGCTCCTGTGTGGGAAGGTGGGGAGCTGTGGCTTCTTCCATAGAGAAGGAAACAGGGGCTAGAGAAGAGAGTCCCTGGCGGAATGGGAGTCCTTCCAGGGGATAAGAGAGATCTGGAACCAAGTGGGAGGTGTAGCAGAGGACTTCTTTTTCCCTGAGACTACTCACAGCTGTCATGTTACTTTGCATGTTGCCCTCACAGGAACCTCTTGAGGGATGCAGGGTAGAAAGCATTTCCACTTGATGAATGAAAAAAAAAAAAAAAAAGCTGTGACACAAAACAACTTACTTGTTTGAGCTCGCTGAGCAAGGGAGGGTCAGATTGAAAATTTGAAAGGTTTCCTAACAACAAGCTCATAGTGGAGGTTTCTGATGACACCTAATGAAGTTCAGTTGAGTATTTTTTCCCCAAAGATAAGCTCCCTCATCCACGCAAGCCATGATTCTGTTGGGCTCCCTGTATGGAAGGAGGCAGGCTAGTGCGCCCTCCTCATGCCTGGTCTCCCTAGAATCAACTGGGGGTGGTGGGAGAAAAAAACTGAGGGTACTACTTGTTACTCAGGAAAATTCAGTGCTCACCCTGGTGACTGAGTGTCCACGGGACCCGTAAGCAGTCTTTATGTCCACTATCTGGGTCAAGGGCCTCTCCACAGACTGTGTCTACAGCAGATCACTTTGCTGTCTTTTAGAAAGTCTACTACCATCTAACTGGGGAGTTGTATGTGGGATCGCTGATTGCAGAGGCAAATGCCGAGGACTGCTGCCTGACAGACCCTGGCAGTGGGGAGAATCCCACTTTGGAGCCATGTTCCAAGGCAACCCAAAATGGACTGCACATATATTGGGATTTTAAGCCGGTGAGTCATGTACTTTTTAACCCCTTCCCCAACAATTTTTTTGTTAAAAACGTTTCTTTTTCAGACTAATTTTTTTATTTTGGTTCTATATAGTATTTTTGATGCTGGTTATGAAAACAGTTTGTAATTATTTTTTCTTCCCATTTTTGTGGTTAAGAATAGTATTTCCTCAGAAAGTTTCTAGATGGAATTATTTAGAATGGTACGTATGTAGCTGGTTTTTGAAGGTAAAGTTTTAGACGAGTATACTCGTCGACGACTGAAAAAAGAACATTTTGTGAAAACATGTATACACGTTTCTGCCGGGGAAGGGGTTAAAGGATAGATATATTCAAATATAATCTGAGAGATTCATATTTGATTTC